CCATTAGAAAATAACATCAGGTTAAACGAGAAGGCAAATTTAGGCCTTTACCTGGCCGTTGGTAGAGGGCCGACTATATCCATCCCCCATTTCATGAATGACCATGGGGATAGGACCAAATGGAGTTGTTCTCCATGTTGATGGATCATTGGTGCGAATCGTTGACACTTATTGCATTTTCTGACAAATTCCTTAGTATCTTTTCCCATGTTATCCTAGTAGTAACCTGCTCTGATAACTTTGCGAACCAAGGACTCGGCGCCGGAATGATTCCAACAAGTGCCTTCGTGAACTTCTTGAAGGACATAATCGGTGTCCCCGGGCCCCAAACATATCACCAATGGCCCATCTAATGTTCTCCTGTACATCTAATGCAAACCTAGCTAGTTTTGGCTCGTAGGGCTCTCGATTCTTTGTGGTCCGATGGAAGTTTCCTATTTTTCAAATAGTCAATATACTTATTCCTCCAGTCCCATGTCAGACTTGTTGAATTTATCTCTGCATGACCCTCTTCTACCACAGACTTTGATAATTGGACAACGCCCCCGGGATGATGTCATCTTCTTTGACCGAAGATCTTAGATTGGCAAGCGCATCGGCCTCACTATTTTGCTCTCGAGGCACATGATCCAGAGTCCACTCCCTGAAGCGGTGCAGAGTTACCTGTAGCTTATCCAAGTACCGTTGCATCCTATCTTCTCAGACCTCAAAACTTTTGTTTACATGGTTTACAACCAATAGAGAATCGTATTTGGCCTCGATGACTTCTGCTCCCAAGCTTTTAGCTAGCTCAATACCTGCAATCATAGATTCATACTCAGCCTCATTATTAGTTAATATTGGAGTTTTAATAGACTTCCTAATGATATCACCGGTGGGTGGCTTCAAGACAATGCCAAGCCCGGATCCTCTCACGTTCGAGGAACCATCTGTGAAGAGAAGTCCATACCCCCGCATGTCCTGTTACCAAAGCCTTAACCGAAGTTGTTTCTCCACTTCGGGTACGAGGGTTGGCGTGAAATCAGCCACGAAGTCAGCTAGGATTTGAGACTTGATGGTCGTTCGGGTTTGATATTCGATATCGTACCCTCTAAGCTCGACGGCCCATTTGGCCAATTGTCCCGAAAGTTCGGGCTTATGCAAAACATTTCGAAGGGGGTAAGTGGTTAATACACATATAGGATGACATTGAAAATATGGTTTTAACATTCGAGATGCGCTTATCAATGCAAGTGCTAATTTTTCCAAGTGGGGTACCTAGTTTCAGCATCTCCTAGAGTACGACTCACGTAATAGACAGGAAATTGCGTACCTTACTCTTCTCGTACCAATACCCCACTTACCGCTATCTCCGATACTGCCAAGTAGAGATAAAGCCTTTCATCTATCTTCGGGGTGTAGAGCAAATGTGGGCTCGACAGATACCGCTTTAACTCTTCTAAGGCCTGTTGGCATTCCGGGGTCCATGCAAAATCCTTCTTCTTTTTGAGCAAGGATAAGAAATGATGACTTCGATCTGATGACCTCGAAATGAATCGGCCCAAAGCAGCTACTCGACCAGTCATCCTTTGCACGACTTTCAAGCTATCCACGACATTGATATCTTCGATGGCCTTGATTTTATCGGGGTTAATCTCGATACCTCGATTTGACACCATGAAGCCAAGGAATTTGCCCGAACCGACTCCAAAGGCACATTTATCCGGGTTAAGCTTCGTGTTGTACTTCTTCAAGATTTCGAATGTTTCCTGCAAATGAACTAAATGGTCTCTGCGCGCAGGGACTTAACCAACATGTCATCAATACAAAGTTCCATTGTTTTACCTATCTGTTCTTCGAACATTTTGTTAACTAAGCGTTGGTACGTTGCTTTTGCATTTTTAAGCTCGAAGGGCATGACATTGTAACAATAAGTTCCAAATTTAGTAATGAATGAAGTCTTTTCCTGGTCTTCCGGGTTCATCTGAATTTGATTGTACTCGGAGTAGGCATCGAGAAAAGTTAAGGTCTCATGGCCAGCCGTGGCATCGATCGTTCGGTCGATGTTCGGCAGCGGGAAAGAATCTTTCGGACATGCTTTGTTCAAGTCCTTATAGTCTACACACATCCTAAGCATGTTTTCCTTTTTAGGGACTACTACTACGTTGGCTAACCACTCGGGGTACTTTACCTCCCGAATGGATCCTATTTTAAGAAGTTTGGTTACCTTTTCTTTTATGAAGGCATGTTTTACATCGGACTGAGGTCTCCTTTTTTGCTTCACCGGTTTGAACCTAGGATCGGTGCTCAGCCGATGTGTGGTGATTTTCGGCGAATCCCTGTCATATCTAAATGGGACCACGCAAAGCAATCCATATTATTAATAAGAAATTGAATGAGATTTTTCCTGAGTTCGGGGGTTAATCCCGTTCCTAGGTATACCTTTCTCTCGGGCAGATATTCGATCAGTATGACCTGCTGTCGTTCCTCGACAGTTGACTTGGTTACGTCGGACTCTTCAGGAACGACAAAAGTTGGAGGAGTAAGGAATTCCTCTTCGTCTTTGATTACTTGTTGTCCCGAATCCGCTGAGGCCAGGGGATGCGATTGATATTTAGCCACCTGCTTATCTTCGGCGCTTGATTTCTCCGAGGTCAGGGGCACTTCCTCGATTGCAAACATCTCTTTTGCGGCGTGCTGCTCCCCGTAGACTGTTTTTACTCCCTCCTCTATCGGGAACTTCATCATCTGGTGAAGAGTCGAGGGCACAACTCTCATGTTATGTATCCACGATCTCCCGGTGAGTGCGTTATAC